AGGAAGGAAGGAAGGAAGGAAGGAAGGAAGGAAGGAAGGAAGGAAGGAAGGAAGGAAGGAAGGAAAAACAGAAAAGTGTGACCCCTGTAATCGAGAAAAAATAGTCAGTGGGAACTGACTCAGTGGGCTTGGTGTTGGATTTAACAAAGACTTCAAATTGGCCGTTTTAAATATGTTCAAAGAATTAAAGGACAGTAAGTTCACAACACTCAACGAAGAGAGATTTCCAATAGAGAAATTAGGAAAGAAAAACCACATAGAAATGTTAGACTTGAAAAGTACAATAATTGAAATGAAAAACTCATGGGATAGTCTGGACAGCAGACTTAAGGTGGCCGTGAAGATGGGGAAGGTCAGTGAAATATTCAACCCAAAGGAGATAGAAAAAAGTTAAGAAAAGTAAACAGAGGCTCAGAGACCTGTTGGACAGTGTTAAGCATTTCAGCATACGTGTAATGAGAGTCCCGGGCAGAAAGGAAGGGAAGGGACAGAAAATAAAATAAATGTCACCAAACCTCCCCAAGTTCAGTGGGAACCACAGCTTACAAAGGGCTCCATGAGATGGAGTAAGCACCGTCTCTCCGGTTCTTAGCCAAAAACTGGACCGAATACAGGAGTAGCTATTTGTAGACTCTGAGAGTAGGCTGGTTGGAGACAACCAGAAATTTGAGTACTGCTGAATCGGTGGCGAGGTTACGTTTTTTGCATTCCCTGACCCAGCCCTAAAGCCCAAGAGTGGGCTTGAGAATGAACAGAGAAAACTCCAGAAACCCTCTAGTTCTGGCTTAAAGAGCAAGATGCCCAGCAAGAGTGCAGAAACCCCTTTTTCATTCTCCGAGTTCTCTCCTCGCACTCCAGCCCCCAGGAAATCCCCTGGCAGCAGCGTTGAAGCAGCTACAGCAGCCAAAGAGGAGCCCGATCAAAACTCCAGGGCAGGAAACCTTCCTCTTGGTTTGGAGCCGCCGTGGCCCATGTTGTCTTTTTCTCTCTGTGTTCCCTGGCCTCCTGAAGGAGGAGGTCACAACCTTAGCTGTAGGAAGTGCACGTGTGGCAGAGTAGGTGAAACAAAGCCTGAGATTCCTGGCCGGAGGATTGGTAAATCTCAGAGAACCAGAAGTACTTAGGTTATGGGGGGGAGGGGGCGTCTGGAAAGAGACCCCTTACAGTTGTTTGTGCACCCCGGGGCTCACCCGTGAGCTGTGCACGCGTGGCTCTGACCCCGAAGAGCATCGGTAGACGCTGCGTTCTGAAATACCAGTAGAACGCCGTGGCCCGAGTCCCAGACTGGCTAGTGTGTGGCCCAGGTGGGACAGATCCAGGTAACGCTGCGAAAGTGTTGAACAGCCCAGTAGTTTCTAAAGTTAAACTATACTCATCATGTCACCCAGCAATCCCACCGCTAGGCATTTACCCAAGAGACATGAAAACTGGAGTTGACGAGGAAGGGTGCAGATAACCACCCTTGCATTCATTCCTGGGATAAATTGTACTGGTCGTCGTGTGCAGTCCTTTTCAGTGTTGCTGGACCCAGTTCACTGGTCTTTATTAAAGATCTTTGCAATTTCATTTATAAAGGATATTGGCTATAATTTTCTTGTGATGTCTGTGTCTGGATTTGGTATCAGGACCTCAGAGAATAGTGGGGAAGTGTTTCCTCCTCGCCTTTCTTTGGAAGAGTTTGTGAAGTCTTGGTTTTAATTCTTTAATGTTTGATAGAATTCACCAGTGAAGCCATCGGATTCTGGGTGTAGGGGCAGTTTCTTGATTAATAATTCAGTTTCTGTACTTTTTTATAGATCCATTAAAATTTCATATTTCTTCCTAAGTAATGTTTTTTAATTTGAAGATATAAAATTAAGAGTAAGATTGTGTGTATAAGGTAGCCTGATAAAGCCCAAACTGCATATAAAAACCTGTCCTGCTATGGGAAGTCAATTTGAAACTTACGCTTTTTAACAATTCAGTTTTTTTAAATGCAATTTTTCAAAAGAGTGTTAATTGTTAATGCCTTTTTATTTGAATTATGTCATAATCATATTTCATAATGGCTTGGAATTTAAGGCTTTTTAAAATTTATTGATTAATTTATTTAAAATTCATTGGTTAATTCTGTAGTGCAGTTCTTTATATTGCATTGTGTGCTCACCAAAGGTTTTTTTGTTTTTTATACGTTGTTTTTTCTCAGCAGCAATGCAGCAAGTGTTGGATAACCTTACCGAGCTGCCCTCATCTACAGGAGCAGAAGAGATAGACCTAATTTTCCTCAAGGGGATTATGGAGAATCCTATTGTAAAATCACTTGCTAAGGTATATTGCTTTATTCACAAGATTACTAAATTATTTTTAAAATTGTCTTGCAGAGGACTTTTTAGATATTACTGTTTTAGAACTTAGGATGACTCTTGACCACTGTCAGACTTATTTCCCATTTACTTAGCTTTACTAAGAAATATTTAATGAGCGACTGCTTCATACTTAGCCATATTCTAAGAAGATAGAAACAAAATTTATGATATTTAGGTTCTTGCTTTTAACAGAGAAAGGCAAGATTATTACACCTAATAATAGTGTATTATTAATAGAGAATAGTATTTGTCTCTTTAGGTATAGCCCACAACTCTTGTTAAAAAGGTGGTTTTTTTTGTTGGCAAGCATGGTTGGACAATGCTTGGGTGAAATACCCTGAAGTTCTGAAAGAACATTCTCTTCTCTGCAGTTTACTTTTCTAAGATGTAGTGGTAAGATTCTCAGAACTGGCCATACGGAAAGGCCAGGCCGTATCTGTGTGAGCTCCAAGTGTTCTGCAAAGCCAGTCAGGGCATGTTCTCCCACGCACTTGTGGCAAATGAAATATATTTGTATGGACTTATGCTAGCTTTCTAGTAATGCTTTTTCTTAAAGGAAGCAAGACTCATTCAAATGCGTGTGATTCTTCTGTCTCTCTGGTCAGTGTTTCCTTTGTCCTTGGTCTGATTAGTTAAATTCCAGTCGGTACTTGTCTCTTGAAAGCTACTAAATAAATTCTGACTTTAAACTTCTTTCACAAAATCTTAGAGCTTAAAAATATGAACCTGCATTTGCTTTCTTGGAAAAAGTAAAATTGATCTCGATTGAACACAACTCTATTTCAGGAATTGGTTTTCCATGTTAATGTAATTACAGCTGTAGTTTTACTAAAAAAGACGTTGTCTTCCTCTGAGAATTTCTGTATTGTATTGTGAAGTTCTTTCCTACGGTAGAACCTGTCTTTGCAGTTGATGTGGAAATATCTTCAGGCATGTTTGTTTTTGTCACATAATTCTGCTTCCTTCCTCTTTTATCTCTTGCCATTAGTCTTTCCGCATTCCCACCTGCCCCACCCAATTTGGGTAGCAATAAGGTAGATGAACATAGAAAGGAAGGGAGCTCTATTAGAGTTTTCAAGTTAGTGACCACTTCTGTTTCTTTTTGTCTCAAAGTCTTAAACCAAAGTCTACCAATGTCTAAAACATATATTACTATATGCCGATCGTGTAGCATACAATATTGGCAAAGTAAGCCATTCATTATATGTTTCCTGGAGAAAGAGGTGGCCTTTATAACTCTTACTCAGAGCAGGGGAGGGAAGGTTGAACGGATGGGTGGTATTTTGAACCACAGGAGTATAAAATAATTATAGGAATAGATGTGGGGGAGCAGAGTTCACACCCCTGGACTTGAAAGAGCTATGCTAAGAAGCAGCAACTCCACTAGCAGTTGGTGAGAGCATCTAAATAAGTGAAAATAACACATCATGTACTAGATTGAATAATTGAACTACAACAGGATGTTAGGGTGGTGTCTGGATGGCGATAAAGTCAAAGACGCTGTGGTAGGTAAGAGCTCAAGTCCTGATACTGGACCACCAGACACTGCCTCTTCCCAGCATTGTGAGCTTGAACCAGTCACTTCATCTCATTTTGCATCAGCAGCTGTGTCTGTAAGGGGAGGATGGTAATGACATACCTATCTTTGCTGAGCACCCACACTCACACTCTTACACACTCACATTATACTCAATATAGTTACACATTCACACACACACTATACTTGGAATATAGTTACACACACACTCATACACACTGTACTCGGAATATAGTTACACACACACTGTACTCAGAATATAGTTACACACAAACACACATCCACTCACATGATACTCAGATTATAGTCACACACACCCACACTCTCACTAGGAGTATAGTTACACACTCTCACACTCACACGATACTCAGAATATAGTTAAAGACACACACACACCCTCAATAAATGTTAATTTTTTTCTTTTTGTCTGAAGCTTTCTTATACTATGATGAGTGTTACAGTATTGAAACATTAGTGATGCTAAATTAGATATTTATTAAAGCATGTTTTGTAGAAGTTACTAATCATGCATGTTACTTTAGCCTTTTTCCAAAGCTGACATTCATTCCGTGATATGCAGAGTGTCCTCATTACCCCATCCTTGCCAGGCTTTCAAAAATTACACATTTACTATGCTCATTCTTTGTGGCATTTCTAGTCTTCTTAATGTTTTTCTTACCTAAATCTAATAGAAACTTTCCCTTCTTTTTAAATTACATTTAGTCTTTTGACATTTTTCTTTGTTTACAAGCAGTTATAATTTTTTCTTTGTCAGTTTACTTCATGTGACTTAAAATTTCTTCTTCTGAGGTGTTTCTTAAAAATGTTGCTTAATATATAGCCCCCTTCCACTTAAAAGTTTGTTTTACTTTGTGAATCACCTGGGGAAAAATACATTTAAGTGGAAAAAAAAAATTGCATTTTCAAAGTTAAAATGTATATTTGCACTCTGAAGGAGTCTCTCTATATGATAGAAATAACTTTTAAGTATCATAGGTAATACTATCAATTAAACTTTATTTAACTTCAAGGCAATGTTAGCATGGTGTGTTTATTTAATTCATAGTTGCCACTTGAAATTTGGGTTTTTCTTCAGCACTTACAGAAATGAATCTTAAATTGTTATGTGTAAGACTTGACATCTTACACGGTTTCATTTATAAACTAAATCGTAATAGTTATGCTTTGCTTGTCTTCAAGATCAGACAGCAACCATTTATCAGAAAAACAAAGAACACTAAAAGGTGAAGACTGCTTGGTGTTCATTCTCAGTTTGATTTTAAAACTCTGCTTTACTTCACCTGGGAAAAGGTAATTAGGACTACTGGGTGTCTATGACAGTGTGATTCATGGTCCATTTTATGTGGAAAGATTATGAGATTTTTAAAAACCAGCTTAAGATATATAGACATGAAATGATACGGTCCTTTGAGGTCCAGCTCAAGAACTGTCTCTCTGAACTGATTTGTTTATTAATTCAGACTCTGGGTTTCCCAAAATGATTTTTATCACTTTTTGAATAGTAATCTATATAATGATTGTGTTCCTGTTCTTTATTTTTATTATGCTTAATCATATAATTTAATACAGCAAGAACAGTATCATCTAGAGTTTGAGTCTAGACTAGAACATCTCTAGGAATTTCTATTGGGTAAGAAATATATGGTTTTTTATTATAATTTGGCCTATTTAGTTTTTTCATGGTTTAATTATGAAAATGAATTTTTCATGACTTAGGATAGGAATAGAGGCCAAGGTTTATTATACTGCATGAAAACATTTACTGAGAAAGATTTGTATTTTGCCTCTAATTAAAATATTAAATTTGGTTTCAGTGAATCAAGCCTTCAAGTCCTATCTTTTAAAACTTTATGAAAAAGAAACAAATCAGGAAGAAAACCACAGCCTGGAGCAAAACAATATATATTCTTACTTTGCTATGTTATTGTCTTTTCAGGCTCATGAGAGGCTAGAAGATTCAAAACTAGAAGCTGTCAGCGACAATAACTTGGAATTAGTGAACGAAATTCTCGAAGATATCAGTCCCCTCGTCAGTGTGGACAAAAACGTGGCAGAGCTGGTTGGGATTCTCAAAGAACCCCACTTCCAGGTGAACTTCCCAGCGCTCTTCTCTCCAAGTCCCTGTGTTCCCAAATACTCTGCTAGTAGTTAAGTTCCAGTTTAAGAGAAGGTTTTTAAATACTATTTAGGGCCATACTTTGTAATATGTAAATTCCAGCATAGGTATTTTAATGTTCCAATATTCTGAGGATACATAAACACACACGTAACTAATACACATTGCATAAATGTATATCTGTCACAGAAATACATCAGAATGTTTTTTTCTTTATGTAATTAAAAAAAACACAAAACCTGATTTATCATCAGACCATGTGCTAGAGACGTTTGTCTCTGTGATAGTGGAATTTCCTTCCTCACTACCGCTTTTTGTCAGACCTCCTTGTGGCCATTCATGCGCATTTTCAGTGTTGAGTCTAGGATTGGGGTGCACTTGATGACCTCAGAACAACAGAGAGCAGTGTGAGGATAGAAACCACTACATAGCATAGGTTTGATAGGCACAAAAAACAAGTGCGATTTAAGCATTGGTCTGTATCAATAAAGAGTTAATCATTTTAACAAAGAAAAACCAGTTTCAGAAGAGAAAGGGAGTGGGGGAGATTTCTTATAAATCTGCAATGAAGACCATGTGGTATTGAGTCAGCATTAGAAAAATAGATTAATCGACAAGAATAGCAACCCCAGAAATATATCCACACTCATATGACAACCTGGTTTATGACAGAGATAATACATTTAGTGGAGAAAGGATGGACTATTTAATAAATGGTTGCGGGATAGAGGGATAAAGTGTCACTTGCTTTCCACTGCAGATCTTAGGGGGCAGCCCCCTTGCGTTTTACTCAAAGACTTTCTCTGACTCCAACAATGTTAATGTAAAATATGAAGATTTAGAGTGAGATGGTTCCTATGTCTAAGTCAATATCTTAGGTACAAAAAAGTGGACACATATCACCCATACCCTTTGCATGGGACAGTTGATTGAGGCCTTATAAGTCATACTAAGGTGTTCAGACTTTATCCTTAGGACAGTGGGAAACCTTGGGCAGGATGAGAGGAGATATTTAACAGGGAGAGGTCAGATTATGGAGCTAGATTGTTAAGTACTGAGGCAAGAAGTTGTGATAGCAGTATAAAATGAGGATTTTCAAGTCTTAAGCAGCAAAATCAACAGGACTTGGTGACTAGTTACGTGTGGCAGTTGTAGAAGAGAGATGTGGAAAGTTGATTAAGGATAGGATTTCTGACTGTTGGTAGAATCCACTGAGATTAGGAACACTCTAGGAGAAACTGGACAAGTTAATGTAAGGTAACTGGCCATGTTAAGTTTGTGACGCCTCAGAAGCATCTGGGTGGTGCTTTCAGGCATGTTATATACATATATTTAAATAAATACATAAAATTTAATAAGTATAAATTTATATAAAGTTTAATAAATACATAACATTAGAAAATAGCGGCAATTAAAAATACAAAAATTAAGACATTGCATTCTTACTACCCAAATTATTACTGTACTATTTTAGTGCATATTCCTCCATTTTTTTCCTGTGCATAAATGTACTTTTTTTTTTCTTTACTAATTGAGATCATTTTTCACAAGGTGTTTTGTAATTTACAGTTTTAGTTCAGTCATCGATTTCCGCTTTCCCATGTCAGTGGGTCTCCGGCTCATGTAGTGCACATACTATATTCAGATGTCTTTATTTGATGCCAAAATATTCTTTATAGCTGATTTGTACGTACAGGTTTCCAGCCTAGTTCCATGTGTAGTGTCTAGTTAGACCATCCATCCCTCCCTTGATTATGATGTTGACCTTTTGAAGAGACCTGCAGAATGTCCCACTTCCTGGGTGTATCTGGTTGCTTCCCTACCGTGTTGTTTAGTTATCTATCCCTTCTATTTCCTGTAAACAGACGTTCTATCAAAAAGGTTGGTGATTCAAGTTAATTATTTGGAACTAAAATTCATCTTAAGTGATGTGATACAACATGAATTAAATTATATCAAAAATGTATAATACATGGTCAGCACACCACTATTGATGCTGAGATTGGTCCCTTGATTAAGGGCAGTGACAGTCTAATTCTTTGAAAGCCTTTCCACTAGAAGTAATCTAGTGTCTTACTATTCTAGCATTATACTAATGCTGTTTCCTTTCAGCTATTTACCTCCATTAATAATCCTTGCCTGAATCAGTATTTGCACTAGAGGTTGCAAACTGACATTTTTCGAAATTCTGCATTTTCTCTCATTCTGCATTTATTAGCTGGTGGCCTTATGTGAGGAGAGCTTTTCCTTGTCAGGTGGGCGGTTCAGTTACTCTGTAATGTGTTTCCCACCAAGGGGTCAGGGACATGCTTGGTCCCTCCCTCTACCAATTCTCAAAGTAAAAAATCGTTTAAAATAGCAATTTTCATAGAAACAAATGTGTGTGTTTTTCAGTCTTTTGTTTTTTTAAATAGCACTGTGGAGTTATGGATTTTTCATTAATTCAGTATTTCAGTCATATACAATCCTTAATTCTTTCTGATTTTCAAATTATCATAATTTTGTTATGTTGTAGGCAGATTTTTAGTGTATGAACCTGAAGCTCATGAAAGTTCTGGACCAAAGACGTAAAATTCGGAATTACCAGTGGATAGGTAGTGGCTTGGGTCACAGGAATATTCCCTAAGAAGAGAAAACGGGGTGAAAACAAAGACCAAGCCAGAGGTTTGAGTGACTTCCAGCATTTATGGGAGTAATCCTCACATATGGATTTGTGCTTCTTTCTTTTTGAATTCTTTCTTCAGTCTCTTACATGTATTCTTATGAAATAACCAGAAATTATCATTTAAACCCTTACGCTAAGAATCTACGTCCTGAACCTGTTGACGTTTGTTCCCTTCCTTGTGTTTTGATTTATTATTTTTGAACTTGCGTTTTATCCACTCAAAAAACTTTTTAAACTTAGTTTTACATTTTGAATCCTTACAGTCGCTCTTGGAGGCCCATGATATTGTGGCATCAAAGTGTTACGATTCGCCTCCGTCCAGCCCGGAAATGAATAATTCTGTCAATAATCAGTTGCTGCCCGTGGACGCCATTCGTATTCTTGGCATTCACAAAAGAGCTGGGGAACCATTGGTGAGTAGAAAAACCAGCGCCTTCTTAAATCTGAGCCCGGACATACTTGCGGCCCAGACACTACTCTCGTTTTTTTCTCTCTCGTAACTTGTATCATTATGAGAACTTTATTTGTGTTTGTTTTTATGCCTTTTTTGGCCTCTGTATAAAATACACCTTGGATGCTCTCTCAACTTGATTTAGCATACAAAATTAAGTCAAGATAAAAGTTAAACTGAAGTAGAGGCCAGAAGAAGTTTGCCAATGGGTGGCAAAACTTTCAGAAAGTAAGTACTTTATATTTTTCCTTTGCCCTTTGAAGAAGTTATCTCAGGTTGCTTGCTAATGATAGTATCAAAACATGGAAGAAAGTTGTTATTAAAAAGTGAAAACATGGCCTGGCCGGTGTGGCTCAGTGGTTGAGCATCGACCTAGGATCCAGGAGATAGCGGTTCGATTCCCAGTCAGGGCACATGCCCGGGTTGCGGGCTCGATCCCCAGTTGGGCGTGCAGGAGGCAGCTGATCAGTGACTCTCATCATTGATATTTCTGTCTCTCTCTCTCTCCCCCTCTCCTTTCCTCTCTCTGAAATCAATCAATCAATCAATAAATATATATATATATACACACACACACNGGTTGCGGGCTCGATCCCCAGTTGGGCGTGCAGGAGGCAGCTGATCAGTGACTCTCATCATTGATATTTCTGTCTCTCTCTCTCTCCCCCTCTCCTTTCCTCTCTCTGCAATCAATCAATCAATAAATATATATATATATATACACACACACACGCACACTTTTTTAAAGTGAAGACATGGTAGGTCGGGCCCTTTAAGTAGTGAAGTTTACAATTTCCTGCTAAAATTATTATTTCTGCGTCCTGACTATAAGAACAGTGAAATGGGCGGGGGAAAGCCAGGAACAAGGCACAACTATTGTTTCTTGTTCCTTTGCGGTTCCTTTATCCTGTGAACGCAGCCTGGTATATGTTTCATTTTTTCAGGTTAACCTTACCATCGGCGTCCTTTTTAAGGGTGGTATATGTTGTCACAGTTGCACATGGTTTAAGATTAGAATATTGACACAGGAGGGAACACGGGAAAAACAGGAAGGATTCACTCACCTACTTTTAGAATTATTTTCTTATATATACACATTCATGAGTATTTGAGATTTAAAAAAAAATCTGACGACAGTTCCATTCCTTAATTCCTTTAGGGTGTAACATTTAGGGTTGAAAACAACGACCTGGTCATCGCCCGAATCCTTCACGGAGGCATGATAGACCGACAAGGGTTGCTTCATGTGGGAGATATCATTAAAGAAGTCAATGGCCACGAGGTTGGAAACAATCCAAAGGAATTACAAGAATTACTGAAAAATATTAGTGGAAGTGTCACCCTAAAAATTTTACCAAGCTATAGAGATACAATTACTCCTCAACAGGTTAGTAATAAAATTCTTGGTAATATTAAGAGTACTTTCATTTCTTAAATCACTCTGTTGGATGTAACCACCAGTTGCTACTCTTTTGCTAAAGAAGAGAAGGGGGAAAACTGTCTGATTTAATTGTTCTGAATTGCCTTATTTTGTCACGGGTGAATTTTTAAGCAATTAACGTCATCTTACTACTATAAAAGAATTAGGAGAGAAATCTGTGAGCACCACCGACCCTGCCATTTCGGTAACGTACAGCAAGGTGTTGGGAAAACCATACAGCCTTTTAGTCATTCAACTAGCAAACATTTTTTGGTACCTGTTATGTTCCAGGCCCTGTAAGTGAAGGTAATGCAGCCCCAACCACCTATAGCTTATTGTGTAGGGGATGGGCTAGAGCAGCGATTCTCAGCCCATGTGCTACAGAATTTTTAAAACACGCAACACCTGACTATTTAGTCAGGGCCACTGATCTCTTTTCCCTTAGAGTGTCAAATGAAGAAAGGACAACAGCCAGCACAATAGCCTTCCAGTGTGAATGAAGCAAAATTATACCCTTTTTTTTTTTGCCAGATTGGCCAAAATTGTATTTTTTGGTGTGCCGCAGAATTTTAGTAAGTAGTTTATGTGCCATGAGATGAAAAAGGCTGAGTCGCTGGTGTGATAGAATCAGAAAGGAAGAAAAAGAAATGAAGCCATTACAAAGAAATAGCTGATGACTATGGTGGGGGTATTGTTCATATGAAAACTTTAAAGGCTAGTTTTAGTATTTCTGTTCAATTCTGTGCAACAGCGTGTGGAATACCCGTTTTATATTGTTATGTGGAGGACAGGATGGAATATTTAGTCGTGATTTTAGTACGTAAGCTGGACTTCTGAATATACATAGGCTTGCAAGGGACTTTGGTTGAAATGAAGGTGGACACCTTGTCTTCAAGGAAAAGAATCACCAGCTGGCACATTTCCATTTGGAAAAGTAGAACCAAAGGTTGACTTCTTTAAATTATGTGTTAGTTTTGATACTTAGGAAGATTTTTTCCCCCTCTGTGGTCCGAACTCCAGAATTCTTACCAGCTCGCCATGCCCATAATGGACTTTTACGGGGAAAACTACATTTTTGTGATATTAATAGCTAGGACTTGGGCCTAAAATCCTCTGTAAATTCTACAATTGGTGAAGTAACCTGAGTGATGTGAAATGCAAGGCTAGTTAGCCCTGTCCTAGGCCACCTCCGTCTTCTTGCTCATCTCAGCTTGGAGACCACCAGGCTGCACACAAGTTCTCCTTCCCGAGGTGCGAAGTGGGGACTTTTCTGTACAGTTAGCTGGAGCAAGTGTGCAGTGCATCTTGTTTCCATTGTTCGGAATCACCATCTTCAGTGTCTAATGTCTTGACGGATGTTTCACGTACTTGTCCAGTGTTTTAGTTGTTTCAGGTTGGAGGGTCCTTGTTACTTCATCTTAGAAGCAGGAGCCATTTTATCTTTACTTTTATTACCATAAAAATGTAATTTTTGAATGGGTTCAAAATTCAAGAAATATAAATTTGTGTTCAGTTGAAACCTCCCTCCCAATTCTCTACCAACCTAATCCTCACTCCCCCATAAGATACCATGCTGTTAGTTTATCTTTCCAGAGTTTCTTTATTCATATGCAAGTAACAATTATATATTTTTTCCCCTTCCACGTCTTTTTTTATGAAAAGATTACATAGTGTACACACTCTGAACCTTGGTGTTTGTATGTCTGTGTGTGTGCCGGGGGGAGTTCCCAATTAACTGTGCAGTCTTAGGGATCTTTCCTTTTTGGTGCGTAGTCTACCTGTTGAAATACAACCCCCCTTTTTTTCTTAACATCTGCATAGTGTTGTATTACATAGATTTACCATCACTTGTTTAATCAGTTCCCTATTGTTAAATAATTAGGCTGTGTCTGATCTTTTCCAATGAGGAGTAATTCAGTAGTTAATAGTCTTGTACATAAGTCACTTTGTATGTGTCTGAATAACATTGCTGTTGAATACATTCCCAGAGGTGGATTGCTAAGTCAGAGAGTTTTTGCATTTGCAATTTTGATAGTTATTGCCAAATTATCTTCCCAAGGGACTGAACCAGTATTTCACCAACCTGTTAGAAAAATGGCTGTTGGCCCATAGTCCTCGCTATGGTATATCAAGTATTTGGATTTCTGCTACTCTGATGGGAAGATAGTGTTCTCATAATATAGTTTTAGTTTGTTTTCCTATTCTGAGTGAGGTTGGACATCTCCTCCTGTGTTTAAAAGCCATTCGTACTTCCTTTTCTCCCTTGCTGCTACTTCAGATTGTTCATTTATTCAGATATTTCTTTTAATGGTAAGAATATGAGATTGAAAGATTTTAGGTTGTGTTTAGTAACTTTCCAATAATGAATGAACAGTTAACATTCATAGGCTATTAGTGAAACACTTTAAAATGCACTTAATAAAATATTATACTAGACAAATGATTTAAAGATCATTACAAAATATTTAGATCAAAGATTGGGTTCATTAATTTTTTCAAACAAATCTTCAGAGTTCAAAGTAAAACTAGTTTAATCTGAGTTTTTGAGCACAGAGTAATGTTGCAAAATTAATTTGCTAAATGAAAAAATAAAAAATTATTTCTTTTAGAAATTCTTTACATTTGCAAGGTTTGGTTTTTGTTCCACAAATAATGATGTTTTCAGAACAATTTGATGGGAGTAGGGGAATGAATATTTGAAATTTGGATTAACTTGGAAAGTCTGAGCTTTATGGTTACAGAACACACTCTGCCCCACAGATAAGAATAATAAACTTAGTCATGATTAGATGACAGGTGCTCTTACTGCTCATTTAGGGCAGCTTTTTTGAGAAGTAAGGTGCATCCCAGTATTTTTACAACGTTGCAAACCCATCTTTTTTTCTGCCTCATCTCAAACCCTTCTAACTTTTTGCTTCAATCATTTATAATTTTCAAATATTATATATACCCTATGAACAATTCTTTAGGGAAGTAGTTGCTTTACTAAATGAGTGAAGTAATAAAATGGGCCAGTAGTTTGTTTATATTATGTTGATTTGTTACCACTTTAAAGCTATATTCATGGCTATATTTATGCAATGAAAAATATATTTTTAGAGTTGCATCAATATGGAGAGGCATCCAGCACACGTCCGTCAGGTATGATGTCATTCCAGGACAGTCTCTGGTACTCTGTTTTTCTGTCTTGTCAGCCAACTAAATTTACCTTGATTAAACTTAATCATTTTGGGTTTTCTCCACTGCCAAATCATTGAGCTGCATGCCATTGTCAAGTTAGCCAGTTGTCACATTTTAGGCAAGCTTAATATTATTTGTATGCTTGCTTTTTAGAGTTTTCTAAACGTGTATATCAGAAAAAACTCTTGGCTTGCTGATTTTTTTAAGCATTAATATTTAGCCTTTCCAAAGTTATTGCAAATGCTCTGAATGCTTTCTTTGAATATCATCTAATTGTAAATAACTAAAATCTTATCAAATGTTCCCAAATTTAGTTATTTTTAAATTATTTAATATGCATCCATCATATTACATTTTACTACACTAATAATATCTATCTACTTTGTTATTTGAATATTATATGGCATATTTACATAAATATGATAAATAGAAAAGTAACATTATTTTGACTAATTATGTGCTTTCCTGCTTGTTAAAGTTTCCTGCTGATTAATGCTAAGTCAGTTCTTTAGATAAAATTTGAATTTCTATGAATATGCATGAAAAAGGTTTGTTTTAAAAAAGTAATTTGTCTGAACTTGCCATCAAATACTGAAAATGCTTAGCTTAATTAGAATTCAAATTAAAGTGAATATGCAGAATATTCTAGATACTGGAGATCATAACTTACTGGTAACTGACGTACTTATATTGATAAAACAGATTTAAAAGAAATTTGTATAGTTAAATGAATTTAAAATAGTTTCAGGCTTTCCAGTATTTGTCTTAAAAATTAATACTGATCATTTAAATCAGAGCAAGATGATTCCAGAAAAGTATTTTCTACACTAGTTTTGGTCGGTGTTTAAGTCTATGTGATTAAAAAATAAACAAAAAATTGCCCGGCCTGGCGTGGCTCAGCTGTTGAGCATCAATCTAGGATCCAGGAGATCGAGGTTTAATTCCTGGTCAGGGCACATGCTTGGATTGCAGATGATCCCCAGCAGGGGACGTGCAGGAGGCGGATGATCAATGAGTCATCATTGATGTTTCTCTCTCTCTCTCCCTTTCCCTTCATCTCTCTGAAATCAATAAAGATATATTTGTTTTTAAAAAATTATTACCAAGGATGAAAGGGTTTTTTTTGCTTTTTTTTAAAGGTTATTAAATATATTTCAGGTCTGACTTCAACATGAATTTTTATTATTTAATTTTGATTTCAAAGAGTCAGTCTTACTGTCTGAAATATATGCCTTAAACCAACTGCACGTATTGTTTCAGGATGTTAATCAGGAAGTAGCATTTGCTTGCACAAAAATTATGCAGTGTTGGTTGGAAAATCATGTGAAAAGAATGGTGGAATTAAGTGATTGTCAAACTCTTTGTTGATTTAAGATTATACGTTAAAATAGAAACAAAATTTTAATATGGTGACAATGTTTAGTTCATATTTTCTTTTCTGATACCAAATTACTAATGTTCTAATATGTAATTTAAATTTTATTTGAGACAAGTTTCTTAGTTGTCAATTACAAGAAAATCACAGAGGTTTGAAGAACATTTCAGAAATCCAGTGACAAATGGTGTCTCTCTCATACTTTTAATTGTTCTGTGTGTTTTAGGTGTTTGTGAAGTGTCATTTTGATTATAACCCATACAATGATAACCTGATACCCTGCAAAGAAGCAGGACTGAAGTTTTCGAAAGGAGAAATTCTTCAGATTGTCAACAGAGAAGATCCAAACTGGTGGCAGGTTAGTGTGCTGCTCAGAATTTCCTCACCTGCTGTTTTATTTTCAACCTTAGACCTGGCCAATATCTGCGTATTCGGGAAGAAGGTATTATTAACATTTGTTCCAGTGGGTTTTCCTGCACAAACAGCTAGCTCCTGCTTCACAGCTGCTAATTTTGTGAACAGAAGACCAAATTGAGAGGGAATTTGTGAAGAGCTGTGAATAAACGCAGGACTAACCTGTGGTGCCATCTCTGGGTTAGGGCTTAGACCAGTCTGTCTTTCCCCATGGGTGATTGCAGGAAGGCACAGAATTAGGCAAGAACAGCTCAGCTGGGGTCACCCCTGTTTAGTGTTTTTGTTTGTTGTAACTAAGGAGTCTTTTATTGTGGTTGTAGTAGTCTTTCTCTCGTCTCCCCTCCCTCTGAATACATTCGCAGCAAATAAAGCATTAACTTTTTAAGCTCTCAGCTCTTAAACCTATTTGCCCACCTCTTCTCATGTGTTGAGAAATGGAGGCATGCTTTATCATTGGTGGTGTTTTGATCGTGGGTTGAAATCTGCGTGCATGGAAAGGATGTGTGTTAGCGCTGTGTTTTGCCCCCTTCCTTTTCCAGATCTGCGTGACAATGTCCTTTTTCCTTTCCCTTAATGCAGCTTTCAGAAGAATCCCTGGCAGCCAAAAGAAGCCTGCTTTAGTCATTGTTCACCTTGGTTAAACAGCCAGTGTTCAGAAGGGGAGAAACTTAACAGATGGGAAAGTCTTAACTCCCTTAAACTGTCAGAGAGTCTCATTCAAGAACAAGCCGTGAGAGAGAAGGGCCCAGGGCCTACCCCTGAACTCTAAGTTAAACGGATACAGTAACTCACGTTAGCTCTAATGAGTTACATTGACTTCTAAGGGGAATGAATTACAAGAATGCGGACAATCATATTGAGGTGTCCTTGCATTTAAATTAAGACATTAACATGTACAAGTGCACTGTGCAACTGGTTAGGAAGCTGAGAAACGAGTAAATGAAATGGAATTCATGATTTCAAGAGGTTTCCATTGAAGTTTTTAGACGGCTCACCTGGAAAATCCGCCTTCTGCGGCTGTTTCCTTTTTAAACTTTTCCAATGTTTTCTCTTTTCCACTCTGAATGCCATCTCTTAGTTTTCACATCTGATCCTTTCACCATTATCTCAACTTCTTCCTGCATTTTGTGGCCTGTTTCTTTAATTCTTTGTGTGTGTTTTTTTCAGGATTTTAGCTGCTAAAAACATACCAGATTTTTAAATGCTGGTTGGTTAGAATAAAGTCACTACTATAACTTTGTGGAATAAACCACTAGTAGCCAGTTTTCCGGCCACTATATTGAACTAGCTCTTCTTTGGTTTTTATTTTAACTAGTTCCTGATAGTGACATTTTAGCTCTCTTAAACTATTTCTCAGAATATTCAGATTGCTGAACGCAGGAATGTGACGCTCCTCTCTGTTTTCCCAGTGCTGTCTTTGTCCTTGATTTGGCCTTAGGAAATACCAACACGTAGGATTAAGGCTGAAAGTAATAGCTTACTAAAGGGTGCCAGATGCAAAGTCCTGTAAACACGCAGACTAGCATTTATGCCTTCCCATTCTTGGACTAAGTATCATAAAGAAAAAGTTTTAGTAATTTAAAGAGCCTGTCTGCTGTTGTATTTCATTCCCCAAATTTTCCTACCAGGTGGTGGGTGGGTTGATTAGGTGCCACTTGATTCCTCAGGCTAAAGTGTTTAAATAACCCGACAGTGCCCTGGATTTAAGTCTTAAGGTCAGTTTTTAAGAGCAAATGTGGTATTTTTTTACGTACTACTGCTTGTTCTACTTTTGAGAATATCGCCTCAACGTTTGGTCACTGAGATGTCCAACTCGTTAATTTGATTCTAGGCTAGCCATGTAAAAGCGGGAGGAAGCGCGGGTCTCATTCCAAGCCAGTTCCTGGAGGAGAAGAGAAAGGCATTTGTTAGAAGAGACTGGGACACTGCAGGTGATGAGCTCCACCCAATGATGTCCTTTGTGGATCCTTTCTTTGCCTTGTTTATCTGAACTAGCAAGTGAATTTATTTACTGTCTGTCTAGAATTAACCCCTCCCATCTGCTTCATTGTATCTCTCTCAAAAGTAAACTTTGTGGTCCCTTTCTGCCACCTGCTGGTATGGTACCAGAATTCAGTGGCTCAGCTGTCCCCTTCTGCCTTGTAGGATGCAACACTGGGGAGACGATTCTCCCACCCCTGTCGAACGCCACAGGGCAAGTTTATTATATTTTGACGTACTGTTTAAGTTATATTTATCTTTTCACCTTTCAGGCCCTTTTTGTGGAACCATAAGTAGCAAGAAAAAGAAAAAGATGATGTATCTCACAACCAGAAATGCAGGTGTGTTTGCAATACTCTTTGAGAAATCTAAGTGAAATAGCTTTATTTTGTTAATCAGTGTCGCGTAAAGTCTAGGTGTACACTTTTCAGTGAATGTAATTCAGATCAGTACCCAATTCAAGGGGTTGGCATGTGAACACATGGTACAATTTAATATAAAGACATTACTTAAATCCTGATGTTATGTATGCTTATACTATGACCAGTGTGCTTTATGAGTATAGTTTACAATACAGTGAATTGCTTAGGATGCTTGTATTAATAAAAGAACAATGCTACAATTGAAACTATTTGTTCAGAGAACAAATGAACTTTGGCAGTCATTTATGTGTCATTTCTAAAGAGCAAAATGCCTTTATGAAGGTATTAATAGTGTTATGATTCAACCATAACATTGTCCGTGATATTTTTGGGAAAATAGTACTGACCAAATAAATCTTAGTCTGATCCAGTAGGATTCTTTCTTAAGTCTTTTAGACTTCAGGAAAGATAAATATTACCACTACCATAGTTACTCTTTAACGTTGTAGAGTGCAGCTCTGGGGGCTTACTCAGTGGATTGTTCATTGTAAAGTACTTTCTTGACTTTAGAGCTGCCTCTACTGGTGGGTGATAAACTAAATATCATACTATACAGGAAATAATGTAATATATTGTAACTGTAATAATGAGAAAATGGGCCCTCCCTTCATCTTGGTTACATCTACTGTGGAGAAAGGTGCTGTTAAAATCACTGAAGGAGGAAGCGTTACTATAACAGATGGAAGTTACAGCCACAGTAACGGCAAAATAATATTTCAGACTCAGCCTTATTACTCGTTAAATATGTGTTCTTAAAGCGTTCTTGCAGAACAGAAAATTTGTAATTTTACCATGGACTAGGATTTTGGAATGCATTTCCACTGAAAATAATTTGGATCCTATATTTTATTTTATACATGTTTTCAGAATCCTAATATTTAAATGTCAGCATGTTGTCTATGTGCATTTTATAATCAAATGGGTATTTGCCGAGTCTCCAAGATAGCATTTATTCTTTATGTCCCTGGAAGGGTGTGCTCATTCTACAAGGACTTATTTAAGCAGCCACGCCAGATATACTGCTGTCCTCTGTGTTTGATACTCACTTTTTAGCTGGATAAATTATACAGCCTATTCGTCACTGGATTATTTATCTTAAAGGAATTATTTCTACTCATGAATCAATAAGAAAAAGGTTTTATGGATGGAGTATCTGGTACGGATAAAACACAGGCATTTTTCTAACTGGGCTAGACACATTTTTAAGAACAAATGGATGGCGGCAGATGTTTAAATCAAAATATAAAATAATTTCTTGTACTTTACCAAATTGAGAAAAACAAATCTGTACTGAGTACAGTTCACCTAACATGTAACTACCGTGGCAGCTCGGTCACTACTGAACAGAGTAGCAGAGGTTTCTCATCTGTGCGAAAGACAGCCGAGTGTGATATTGTCCGTTTCCTTTCACGTGTAGAGTTCGACCGTCATGAAATCCAGATCTATGAGGAGGTAGCCAAAATGCCCCCCTTCCAGAGAAGGACGTTAGTATTAATAGGCGCTCAAGGTGTGGGGCGAAGAAGCCTGAAAAACAGGTTCATCGTGTTGAATCCCACCCGGTTTGGAACCACGGTGCCGTGTAAGTTGTGTGTGCTTTTCTCTGTTTAATTGGCAAGAAAATGTAGTGGGGGCAGTTTATTATCATCTTTAGTCCCAGATAATTTTTTATTTTGTCAGTGGAAACAACAAATAGGCGCTACTGACAGGTACTTGAAAGAGCACTGTTGCTGTCAGCCTGGTGGCAGTCGCTTCTCCAAACTCTTTAGTCCAGAAATGTTCGTTAAATACAAGTATTGGGGGTTGTGGCAGAATCAGCATTAACTTTGTATTTTCTTGTACATCTGATGTCGATCTGAAAAGTTGTCTTTCTCACCCTATTTTGGTATAAAGGAAAGGGAGAGACCTGGATCCTCCGTCACTTCCCAGTGTGGCAGTTCCTCTGTTAGTTTATGTGAGCCTGCAAGGCCATAGCCTAATTTTTGATAGCACAGCGAGAGTGATTCCTCTTCCAGAGCAGGCAGCATTAAATAAGGCCACAGAGATTGCTCTGTAAAATAAACTGATACTGACAGGAAGTATAACCATTAAGTGAACCAAACACTCATTTTATGACTTTCGCATGCTTTCCTATTTGTGTATTTACACGGGAAGTTCAGCAGTGATGTCAGAAGTATGCTTGATGAGAATGGAATTGGATCAGGGAGTCAGATGATAGCACTGACTTATCAGAAGGACTCACATCTGTCTTTATTTTGAAGATCCATGAGCCTTTCCTTATGGGGACTTGCATGCTCTTTCCCCTGAGCAAGGCAGGAGACAGGCCAGTGTTGCCTCTGTAACTCCCCTTTCTGTGCAGCTATTGCTGAGCAAGCCCCCGTTGTGATTAACACAGTGTTTCTTTAGGTATATTAATGCCTGTAAGTCGTTCTGAGTCAAATCTCAGCCTAACGTCACTCCAGCTCTCTTTGAAGAATTTTAGAGTTTCTCTGCTTCCATCCAGTTTGTTTTGAGGTTCGAGTCTCAGGGAGTAATCTTATGGCCAAAGTTCTTAGGGGTTGGTTGCTGGGAGTAACCTTATCATTGGCCCCCATGTGCTATTTGTAATCTCTTCAGGGTAAGGCTTTGGGTTCCGTTGTAGGCACCGTAAATCACTAAACTCACACAGATCCCGGTCAAGTAGTTATTAAAACCTCACTGTGCTCAAGGTATTTTAAGTATTTGAAAGTATTTTATTTTTGTCAAATTAATGCACATCCAGTATTTTAATTGAGTAGTAGTTAAAGACATACGATGGAAAAAATAACCCCTCTTTTCCTCTACCCCCGCCTTGGACCTCCTTACCAGACACAGTGGCTCTTCTTTCCCTCTGCTGTTCCTCTGGTAGTCTTCGTATTTCATTGTCTGCACTCTGCTCTTTCTTGCCTTGTGCAGCGTGGGCCTCCCCTGCTGACTTCCTGACTGTCCTCCCAATAGAAAGATAGCTCTAGTTTCCGGTAATTCAGTTTTACTTCCCTGGACAGCCGCTCCCTCTTCCCCCACCCAGCAATCACTAGACGTCTTTTCTTCTCTCTGCCTTGATGGTATGTGTACAGTTTTGTTTTAAACCAAAGACTTACTTGTCTGTTAAGTTGTGTTTTCTCCTTGGAGGGCTCTGTCCCGGAACCTCAGTCTCTTAGCTTCAGCGAGCACGACACGCTCCCTATTCCGCCTGCCCCACTGTTGCCACAGGGATGTTTCTTCCCCTTTGTTGCCATCCTGGGTTGAAGCTGCTGTTCCTGGATCCCAGCTGCCTTCTTTCTTGGTTTATTGACTTCTTTTGCCCGGCACATCCTGTTGTGACTTCACAAGATGTGGTGTATGGGATGTAATTTCCACATCTTTGTATTTGAAGGTGTGTATTTTCTGCCCTGTATTTGAATGATTATTTAGCAGAGAGTAGAAATTCTAGATTGTAAAACTCAAAAGATGTTACTCTCTAATCCAGTTCTGTTAAGAAGTTTAGTGTCCCTCCTATTCTTGTTATTTCGTACATGACCTGATTTTTCTTTGACAGATATTCAGACTCTTTTGTTGTATTTTGTTGTTTTTCAGTATTTTGAAATTTAATAATGATGGGCCTTTGTGTGTGTATTTTTAAACTCATGCTGATGATTAGTGGGCTTCCTGTCAATAAATTTGCTTATCTGGACATTTCACAGAAATGTAATTATGCAGCATGTGGAGTTTTGCGATGGGCTTCTTTATTTAACATAAAGTTCTCAAGGTTCATCCAAGTTACAGCTGGTGTCAGTACTTCGTTTCTTTTTGTTGCTGATGATATTCCACTTTGTGGCTCCACCACATCGTGTGTATCTGTTCACCACCTGATGGACATTTGGGTGCTCTGTTTTTTGCTATAATGAATAATGTTGCTGTTAGCATCTGTGTACAGGTACTTACATGAACATGTATATTTTCTTATTTCTCAGGAACAGAATTGATAGGTCCAGTGACTCTATGTTTAACCTTTTGAGAAGCTGCCACATTGTTCTCCACAGTGGCCCCATTTACACTCCCAGCAATGTATGAAGGTTCCATTTTTTTAAAATATAATTATTGCAGTGACATTGGTTAATAAAAGTATTTAAGTTTCAAGTGTACAGTTCTATAACACATCATCTACGTATTGTATTGTGTGTTCACCACCCCAGATCAAGTCTCCTTCTGTCACTATTTTTGCCCCCTCTACCCTCTTCTATCTGCCCCCACCCCCTTTCCCTCTGGTAATCACCGCACTCTTGTCTGTGTCTATGAGGGTTTTGTTGTCATTTGTTTTTTGCTTAATCTCGTCACCTTTTTCACTCAGACCCTTAAC